TATGTTTACAATTAAGTGCGCAAATATCTCTTAAATTTAAAACGATGCTAAGTTTTTCGTCGGTTTGCAACTCTCAAAATCCTGAAGTACGAGAAAGCTGTTTTTCTTCAAGTCGCTCAATAAAATCCCAAAGAAGCAAACCTGCAAAACATGAGTGTTAATAACTGCAAAACATTTTTTAGCTCAAAATTAGCTCAGATTGTCACAGATTTGTAATTTTCGAAAAACGTAAGAGACAATTTGGGTCCTTCAAACGAATCTTGATGCCAATGACTCCTAGAACAAACCAGCTAGAGACCAGTAAATAAGTAAAAAACGTGGAGTGAAAAAAAAGAAGTTTTTCTTCGATTTGGTATTTTCAAGCATTGGAATTAGGAAAATGATGCATAACTGAAAACTGGGAATTCAAGATACTCTTTAGCTCCAAACAACCTCAGCTTTTAATCGATTTTTCACGTTGTAAAGCAAAAAACGAGCGAAAAACTACACCATTTGATTCCAGTTCCAAAATGCCGCAGAAGTGAGGGCAATTTTTCCAGTAGTACCAGGTTTGAAGGGATGGTTTTTGCATTTTAGATGCCTGACAAAATTTCCTTAAGATGTTCAAGCTACAATTGATAATCAGAGAAACTTAAAAAAAAACATAGAAGTTCAAGAACAGTATTTCATTCACGAACTTAGCATTTTACTGTTGAAAAACCCACTAGCCGCTGCGTTGTATTTGGCGATTTTCATTCCACCATTCTCTATGTTGCAACTTGAACTTGAAGCTCAAGTGCGTTTTGACGTGAACTTTCTGTTTTCTGTATTTATGGATTCCAACTCTGATGGCTCTCGATTGAGAGAAGTTGGCACTTTGTACTAGACTTACTAATTGTAAATTTCGCTTAAGCACCGCCATTAGCTGTGCGCTTTTAATTCGGTTCCTTAAGTACTGCGAAATTCCCATCACTGAATAAATCGCCTTAATGTGGGCAGCTTAGCCACAAACGGCACCTCGAATAATCCGATTACAGTTTTTTAGGGCCCGATTTATGTTTCCTTAAAATTACCTTCGCGCGGTTATAATGGTAAGTTTGCATATAATTTCTCTGGAAAGTTGAGCAATTAAATTTCCAGGAACGATAAACCACTAACGACTTTCTTCAACTGCGGAATTACTGGCGAATATCATTTCTGACAATTTCAAATAATAACTTTCCCCGGCAAGTTCGACGATTTTCTCCAATTACGTTCAATTCTATGGCTTATGCGATCCTCTCATATCGCTTATCCGATTTATTATTATGGAATGATGTACTTTTGATTAGACGGAAGACGATCAGCCGCGGTTTTAATTTAACTTTAGCAATTCGAGTCCATTGTGAAGAAAAAACGGAAGTTAATTTATATAGTAGAAAGTCAAAACATGGATTTCCATTTCGCCGCTTTGGGATTGGTAGAGGGTGGGAATATTCAAATTTATTCGAATGTTGGCCGCATTTACACTTGGAAAAGTTTAAGATTGCTGCAATAAATTCGGATTTAATGGCAGCGAAAAGGACCCACCGTTTTACGATACAATGGCCACCAATAGGCAAAATGCTGGCTTTTGAAGGTCGAGGATTTTTTTTTCTTAAATAAAACGTGATTGGAATCGGTCGATTTCCGTTGCTTGGGGCCGATTGGAAAATGCTGCAAAGAAAGCAAACTGGTTCTTCCTCTGTTAAACTTCCCGGAATTTCCTTAGTTTATTAAGGATTAAGTCGTGCTTTAGCATCAGCACTAGAATTTTTCGTATTTTCGCATGGACGCCTTAAACCGTAATAAGAGGAGCGCTGTAAGAAAACACGTAATTCCTAAATTAAAATCAGCTATTTTCGCGGGAAGAATTATGGACCGTTCCGTTTATTTAAAGCCAGGCAAAAATGCCCTTATATACATTTAATTAACGGTTAAATAAAATATAGCTGGCATTTTTTATTTTAATATCCGGCATGCCAAGCTCTTGTAATGTAGCAATATAAACTGAGGCGGGCTTCGCGTTGGTGAGTTATGCATTCTATTACCAAAACGCCAGATACAGACGTTACTTTTCAGGCATTTGCGTAAATCTCAAAACCACCCATTAGAATAAACTAATCAAAATTGTGCAACGCTGCTATATTCGGAAATGAAATTTCTTGGAAAATTCTCTATTACTTCTTTAAAATTACATTTCAATCCCTGGCTGTGCTTTAATGCCAGACGTTTCTGATTTTATAGTGAAAACTACGATTAAGAGGAAATTATGGCATGCCGCACAATAAAACGTTTATTCGCAAATAAATTGACTTCATAAACTCACTTCGCAACATGATTTTTCATTGTTTCAAAGTCGCAGATTGATGAGAGTTTCCTGGTGAGCAACATTTTTTAGCTCATAGCGCGCTTAGTTTTTAACTGATGTGCGAAATTCAAGATAAGCTTTTTTAATGTTAAAACAGATCCCTTTAATCTCACAATTGCAAAAAGATATCGGAACAAAGGCGAACAAACCCGGAAAACTCGGGATTAAAAACCTCAAAATACTCTTCAGCTCGAAGCACGATCACTTTTTCACCGATTTTACCTTTTTAAGAAGCAAAAGCAAGAAAGGACTTTAGTATTTTGAACATAGGTTGAAAAAGCCCCAAATTCGCAAAGGCTTTAGAGGCCCAAGCGTGCAAACACGAAACATTTCGTAATTCAAACTTGCAAACATCCTTTTGCAATCGAACACGTTAGTGTTTCCCGGAAGTGACACTTTCATAAACCACAAGATAGAGAAAGTTTTTCTCTTTCAAATCGGTGTTTGCAATCTAAGAATTGTCTAAAAATGACGGAGCTACTGGTAAACAAACCAACAAAGCTGGGAATTAAAAATTCAAAATACTCATTAGGTCGAAACGCGATAACCTTTTCAACAATTTCAGGTTTTTAAAAATCGGAAACAAGAAAAAGCCTTAGTGCCAAAATTCGTTAAGGTTCCGGAGCCCCAAACCAAGAAACTGAAAAATGACAATTAAAACTTCGAAACATTCCATAGCTCAAAACAAATTTAGGTTTTCATCTATTTGTAATTTTCGAACACCAGCGACAATGAAAAGTATGTCGCTTTTAAATGAATGATTAAAATCTGCAATCTCTTAAGGATGAAGGAGCAACATGCGAATCAACTGGGAAAACCAAATTTCTTTAGCTGAAAATGAGCTCAAGTTTTGTGGAAATTCGATCTTTCAATCACACAAATGCAAAAATGCGCTTTTGTCTTTCAAACATAATTATGAAATATCACAAATTCCGATTAAAAATTGAACTAAGGCAAACAAGTCTTTAAAAGCCATACTTTTGAGCGCACTACACTTTTTAGCCGAAATCAAGCAAGTTTTCCCCCGATTTTCAGTTTGAAAATAGAGGAAATAAGAAAATAGTTTGGCCTTTCAAATGCATACATAAAACACTAATAATTTCCAAACGTTCACAGGCTACAAGTAAATAAATCCAGAAAAGCCCCGAATGAAGATTTCAAAACACACTTTGATTCAAAGCAAGCGCGATTTTTTAGGCGCTTGATATTTTGAAATCTCAGAACCGAGAAAAACTCCGCCTTTTGCACTCAGTTCCAAAATATCAAACTTTCCTCACTACGATCAAGTACTAGAAACAATTTATGGCTGGATATCAGTTTTCCGCCAACTTCACATGTTAAAAAAGCGAAAATAACCGAATATTTTTGTCATCCAAACAAACTTTAAGAAAGTTAAAAATTCCAACCAAAGAAAAATCCATTATATTTAGATTAAACCTCTTCTTTGTAGCATATCCTTTAATTAGAGTTGTAAATAAAATTTAAATACAGAAGCGAACCGAGACGCTGTTATCTACTTGGCATAAAAATAAATAATTACTCCCGCCAAAGCTAAAAAAGAAAGTAAATAAGTGCCGTAACGCTCTAAAGCTGAGCTGTACCCGGAAATTTTATGATTGGAAATGAAAATAGAGAAAAAGTTTTATTTATTTCAAGATCATTCAGCAGCACTTACCTATTAGCTGTTGAAACCTCTCGATAATCTCAAGAATGAACCGATTTTATAGTTAGAAACCCTCTTCTCATCACATGAAAATCGATTTATGGATTTTAAGTAATTAAACGGGGAAATTCAACTCTTGTGGCATTCATCGCTCACCAGTTTAATTTGGCTGCTGATTAATGCCTGAAATTAACAGCCAAATTGAATAATTACGGCTGTAGTTTCACTTCCAGGGACTGAAATTGAACAAAACCATTATTGCTAACAAGGAGAGCGATTATTAGCAATAGCAGCAATAGAGCAAACATTAAAAAAAGAAATGCTCTACCACATCTGAAGATGCACACTACTCGTACAAAACGTCTAGCAGACCTTTTTTTCCACGGTGACCTAAAAGACCAAAAACTCACAAATTTCAATGAAACAATGTTTTATCGATATCTTTGTCGTCTGGCAGAGGGAAGAGAAAAAACGGTTTTTACCCCAATAAACAGTTTGTCTTAATAACACTAAGGGCTTGCTTAAAAACTCGTAAAAGGGAGATAATTATTGCTGAAGTGTCCTGAAACTCCGGGGACAGCAATTTATGAGTTTCGACTACGCGCTGACCTGCCGTCGAGGGAGGGCACATTTCGTCCTAAAGGTATATCTGAAACTTTAGTGTTATGTGTGAAGTTTCCGGAAAATATTGTACGAGCCATCGGGTAATTTCAGAAGAGGATAATAATTTCGCGAAGCATAATGCCGGTGGATAAGGAATGGACACTTTTCCAAGCAGATCGGCGCTATTGAATTTTCAACATTTTACCTTCAAGATTTATGCTTCTTGTTAGTTTCTGCGTTGCTTGAAAATGGATTCAAAGACATCATTGACGACAGAGCAGCAGCTCAAATACTCCAGCAAATCCACCCTTTTTAAACACTTTTATATATATTTCGGATCGGAAAATAGCGAAATGTACACAACAGTTTAATTTTCAGAAGCAGTTTATTTAAAAGGCCTAACATGCATTATAACCTAACAAGGAAACATTCGCAGTTTTCCAAAAATACTCCAGACTAGTGGAGTTTTCATCCTGCTAGTTCAAAGAATTTTTGTTGGACTCGCAGGTGCACAGCGAAACTACAAACATTAAAAATCATTACTCCAAACACTAAATAGGCTGAAATCCAACTCACCGAATTTTGCGTCTAAACACTTGCAGTTTGGACAGCAGTTGCACTTGATTTCGGAGTAATCTCCCTCTAAATAATGTTTCAAGTGACTTACTTGACGCAAGAAAATAATAAGACACTTACCAATACAAAATTCACACGGTAAAGGCATTTTTCTGTTTGTTGTTAGGCTGTTTGAACTGAGAAGTTGATTGATGCATTTTCAAGCCGAACCTGGTCAATTTATACCGAAAATTTGGCCTTTGTTGAGAAAACAGTTAACTGAATCGTCGCCTAATCACCTTGCAATCAACCGAATTGTCTGCACCGCAAATGACCGCGACTTAACAGTAACGATTAATTAGAAGTCAGAACATCCGGATATTTTCAAAACCAATAAACTGGACTCAGTTAAGCACGTAGCAGGTTTAGTTTACATAAAATTATATTAATATTTTAAGTACTTCTGGATCCAGACGAACAGGAGCCCGACGATGCACAAAAGCACTTTAGTTGCCTTAGTTTTGTGCTATTTTTTAGGAAATACTGCCTTTAAATTTACTGAAAATTTACTAGGAAATCATGGTTATTCCTCTATTTTATTTACTAGGATCTTTGCATTTTTGCTTAATTTAAAATTGAAAATTTTTGTATTAATGCTCTAGAAAATCAACTCAAAGTTCAAAACTTAAAGTTAACTAAGAGTTAAAGATTTCAAATTCATATGAAAGGGAAGAAAGAATAAACTTAAATTTTTTCTTTACAAATAATTTTGATCATTTGGCTGCTAATCCATGATTTTCTTGTGTTAATCTTGTCTGCTTCAAGGAATTTTTATTTGGTTTTTTCTAAATTTCTCTGTCCTTATGTTGGTAATAATCCAGTTTTAATGGTTTCATACTTGTTTGTCATTATCATTGTTTTGTGCCGTTTTCCTTTCAGTGTCCAGTATCCTCAGCATTCCCACATTGTCTTCTTCCAAAATCTCCCTTACAACTTTTCTATTAAAAATGTGAAAAATCAACCCTTTTCTTAATCAAGATAGAGTCAAAATGGGCCTTCGAATACAAGGAAACGAATGGGGCCTTTTCAATTAAAGCCAAACTGTAAAACTTGTCGCAAACTGATCGGTAGCAGCATTGGCTGCAGCGCAAATCGTATCGTTTGTAACTGTAATGTGAATATCTGAAATCAGTTCACGATTGAACAATTTCGAGGATTGAAACTTCAGTTTTGTATTCGGAGCGCAACGATTTTTAAACGAGTTGAAACTGCTTCATGCAACTTTAAATCACATGCGGAATTACAGCTTGAGTGGTATTTGTTGCTCAACACAACCTGCAAAATCGCTGAATTGTTCGGTTTGCGACCACCTAACTGAAGTATCATTAACGCAATTTTCATTGTATTTAGAGAAACTCTCCTTCGTTCATCGATTTCGTGAGTCTAATTGCTAAGATTTACTTGAAGGTTTGAAGATAGATAATAGCAAATATTTGCCAGAAAAGGAAACACGCATGTAATATATACGGAAAGCAATAGAGACTTCTGAATATTGTCACATTCGTATCACGTATCCAGAACCGTTACGTGATTTATAATGGCGACCTCGTATATCTTCACCGTTTGGGGGTGAATATTTAAAAAGGACCGCATTCGTTATTTCAAGACGTTTCGGTTTAAGCCCCTCCATATCTACGACAGTTTATTCCAATTTAAATCGCCGATATATTCAATTTTCCGTACCGAAACTTGAAAAAGCTAGACTGAATAACCTTCGACTTGAGTATCGGCTTTAGAAATGAAAATTAGGTAAGATTTCCAGACGTCGAATTTATGTGAATTGTTTCAGGAAAAAGTGATTTTTCAAATAAATGTTCGTAATATAAAACATCCCCCATCGCTTATAAACAGTAGGATTTTGGAAACTGGCGCAGTCGGTAGCTTTTTAGTTTGTAGCAAAAAAAATATTAAAAAAACTGTCGTTTCCATAGCAGCTGTAGATTCTTCTCAGCTAAAATATATTTGACAATTTTTTTATGTAAAAACCAAGACCTTCAATGTAGGTTTAAGAACAATTTTTTTAGCATTTTAAACTACGAGCTTTTGGTCCAAATGTTTGAAGTATCGACTGTAAATATGAGATGAAACTTACCGAATTCATATAAATTGTTGAAGAAAACGCAATAAGTATTAAAGCACAAAGCAGCCGCAGTCTGGAGACTCTCCAGAAGAAAATTAAATTTAAAAACATTAAAGTTAAGTTAAAAAATAGTGAAAAAACATCGATAAGCTGGCATTTTTTAACAGATTTAGATGGTTGTTGACTTTAAAAAATATTTTAGCGATTCAAAGTACGAGATTTTGATCCAAATGTTTTGAGTATCGACTGTATGTAAATGTGAGTATAAACGTAGTGAATTGATGTAAATCGTTGACGAAAACGCAATCAGTATTTAAGCACGAAACAGCTGAATCCTTTCACGATAATTTTAGTATGAAACTGGTGCAGTCAGTAGGTTTATTGCATCTCAAACATATCCAGAGAATCTTGATGCAAAGAACATTACCTTATACAAATGCAATTAAAATTTAGCGATTAAAGTTATAATTAACAACCTATTCAATAATATGAATTATTCCATTGCCAAGCTAAAACTCGCAAAAGCGGTTCTATTTCATGTAATCTTAATTTCGCCTCTAACGTAAAATTTAGAGGCAATAATGTCTACGGCAGTGGCTAAAATTTAGAGGCATATGTCCCCAAAATATTGTAAGTCTTCCAAATTCCTTCCACCGTATTCACGCTTGGGAAATTTCAAAATTGCCCCCAATAAATTCGGATTTAATGGAATTCAAAATAGATCACCGTTTACTACACAATAGAAGCCAATAACCAGACTGTTCGGCTTTAAAGGTTGAGGCTATATTTTTTCCTTTCGATTAATGGGTTGTGAAAGGACCACTTAAGGGAGTGGAATGGAAAATGAACGTAGTTTTTTTTTCACTGTGCTTGGTCGCATTATTTTGGTAATAATTAAAAAACAGAAAAAGGTCGAAAAGAGTCCGAACTGGCATTCAGAAATTAACTTTTTTTTGAAGCCACAATCATGGCTGGCAATTTCTACTGATTAACCGCTAGGAAACCCTTGCAATTTTTTGGAATTAGAGCGTCTTTTAACCAAAGTTTTCCAAACATACGGTTTGAATTGCTTTTTTCTAAGCACTTTTCTTTAAATTCAGTTTTTTAACGAGATTTATTCTAAGGCTCAAGAAAAGTGACGAAGCCGGAGGTTTTCTACTTATAAACGATAAATAAACAACAGTTTTGATCACCGGTATGTCAAGAAATATGTTCTTCAACGCAATATGAAGAAATAGTTTTATTCAAGAAGTTTTTTTGCAAGCGTTAGTTTGTAGAAATTCAATTAATCTGATATGTGGCTATCTATGGCATTAAAAGGTAATTGGTGATGTTTACTACAGCGCTCTTCTGCTGAACGCCAAAACAACCCATCGAGGGATTTTATGTAAATAATTAATGTGTTTATGTAGCTGATTGGCTGCAATTAGGCGTCTGGTTCAGGCAAGTGCTAAACACACTATTTGCATATATTCGGTTGTTTGTTTGGCCCCCCATATGTGTCGAGAGCCTCTATATTGATATATCTGTTTATTGGCCATTGAACTACTAATTGAAGGGGCTTCGAATGATAAACAAATCGTCCCTCCGCCCACAGTTCAAAACACATTTTCGGGCAAATTAATCCGCTTATGATCCGCATCTTCCACTCCATTCAAGCAGCATTCGTTAAGCTGTCCGGGTTTTATTAAGACGCGACTCTACCGCAATATTACGCCATTCAGTTTCTCTTAGAACCTACTCTCAAAGACAGTTGAAAACCTTTTATTTTGACAGCAAGATATTCCTAATTAGAGTCTCGTTGCTAGGAAAAATATAAGGATTTGAAAGGTTTTATGAGAGGGGCTTTCAGTTCTGTTGCCCGATGTACATCAAAGGAGACATTGTGAGCTGGAAGTAATCAAGTGCTTGGAAGTTACCGAGCTTTAAGCAAAAGAGGAAAAAATGAAAACTCCGAAAAGTAATACTGGGAAAGCTTCCTAAACCTGCTTAGTTTATTGTTAAGTTGCAAAAGTAAGCGAATTTCCAAAAAGGCGACGTTCGCCTGACGATCGTGCTCGGAATTAAGAAAAGCTAAAGATTTCTGATTAAGATATTGGTCGTAACATATGTAGCAATAAATTTGCTGTATCGTCTTTCGAAACCGAACAAGCGCTAGTCAATTCGGATTCTCTTTCTTAAATTGCAGCAAACAAGAGGAGTGTTTGTTACTTCTAATAAATTACTTCGGCCTTATTTAAGAGCCTTTTATAAACTCGATTGAAAGAAAGGCAAAATTGTCTATTCTTTGACTAATTTTTCAAAAACTTAGCTTCATGTTTCTGTCACAGTTTCTATTAACACCAAATAATAAATATTAGCTGTGCGCAAAGCGGATGAATTGATTTGCAACTTTTTGCAATAAATTGTAATTGTTGTAATTAATATGAGGTCATGGCCCAGATGATATCATCTGGCCGATAACGAATCACTGAAGCCTATTTACAAATGTTAAAGTATTTATAATTAAACGCCAATTTCACAATTAGTATTATTAACTAGCATCGGCACATTATTCGCTATTTATTTAGTGGCATGAATGCGTTTCTGCTTTTAGTGCAAAGAGACCAGGGTGCACATCATCAATTACGATTATTTTGGGGCGAAAACGCTGCTATTATGCCAATTTATCATCAGAATGGTCGATTTCCGCATTAACATATGCAGGGCTTTTAAATTGTTTGTCGATACAATTTATATATTAGTTGCTAGTTAATTTATTCTTCTTTACTTCAGTGATTTTAGCAGGAAAACTAGGCGGAGTAGAAGTTATTTGCAGGAACGATTCTATTATTTTTGGTGTTTTTAATTGTTTGTTTATGTTAATTTTATGATCCTGCCATTGTTTGAAATGTGTGCAAATTCCTTTCAGCATTCGACTCGTATGCACGATCAGAAAAATCTACTTTATATGAGAAAACTAGTAACAATTTGGGCAAAGAACTATTGGAAAAATGCAATAATGAAATGGAGAAACGAGCGAAAGGAATGAGGAACTCACGAAAGAAGAAACAAACAAATTAAAATTTCCAGGAAAGGAATTGGTTAATCAGAAATCATAAAGTTGAATTTTGCTGTGTATTTTCTTATAATATTTTTCCTCTCGATTGTTTATTTACTTTTTCAGTTATTGTTATAGTTTCCTTGCAAAGTCGTAACTGTT